AATATTTTAAATATGAATTAAATTAATTAAAAAAAATCAATTTAACAAGTTGTAGACAATATATATATATTTGGGTGTTTATTTAGAAGTTAACATTCAATTGTGAATATATATATATATATATATATATATATATGAGTAGGGATCATTTGACTTCAAAAGTAACTCTTGGTAAAATTATTTCACTCAATAATTCATTGTGTGTGTTGAATTTCAACGATCCAACTATTAAAATAAAAGTTCTTAATGCATAAATCTAGTTTTTAAATTTTTTAAATTTTTGAAAATTATTTGATGTTTCGTTTCATAAATTTAAATTGACGGATAATCATAAAAATATTTTATACATTAATTTGAATCTATATAACGAAGTATCAAATAGTTTTCAAAAAATGTTAAAATTTGTAGACTTGATCTATGTATTAAAATTTTTTAATTTAATAATAGGATCGCTGAAATTCTACACATAAAATGAGTTATTAAGTGGAGTAATTTTATCAAAATTTAGTCTTGGAGTCATTTGATTCCTCCCCACCTCTCTCTGGTGTGTGTATATATATATATATATATGAAGAGGGATCTGCTTACTCTAGGAGTAAGTCTATCTATATTTACTTCATTTAATAATTCATGTTTTATATCAAATTTTAACTATCTAACCGTTAAATTTAAAGTTCTTAATACATAGATCAGGTTTACAATTTTTTTTATAAAAAAATTAAAAAATATTTGATACTTCATTTCATTAATTAAAATCAATGTATAAAATAATTTTATGATTATCCATCCATTTTAATTAATGGAATAAAGTATCAAATAGTTTTAAGATTTCTAAAATTTTGCAAACTTAATCCAACGATTGGATCATTAAAGTAGAACATGAGTTATTGAATGAAGTAAGTCCAGGTATACTTACTCCTAAAGTAAACTTACCCGTCCTATATATATGAAATTGCTAACATACTCTCATCTATTTTTTAGTTGGAGTATGTTAGTAATCTACACCATAATTTTAGGATAATAAAACAACTCCTTCTTTTTTGATTTGGTTAATTTGTATAAAAGATATTATATTTATTTTATTTTATTTTTAAAAAATTATTTTCTTTCTATCTTATTAACTTCATTCTCTAGTTCATTTCTCTTTCTTCTCTTATTTCTTACGCTACCTCCTTCTCTCTCTCTCTACAAATAAATTACTTTCTCTCTCCTTTATCATCTTTAAATCTATTAACCTCATCATAGAATAGTTATGTTTTCAATTTTCACATTATTGTCATTACCACGAAGAATATCACAAATACACTATGAATCCATAAAAAAAAAACATTTAATACTCACAAAATTATTTCATCTCCATCGTATAATAATAATATAAAATATTAATAAAGAAAATCAAGGTCTGATTTGCCCAAATTTATGATTTAAAATTCATGATTTCATTATCATTAGAAAACAAGTTAAGAAAATGGCAACACATCTCCCATCTCCCTTGAATTCTCCCCACCACACATTTTTTTCACCATGTCCATCCTTAACACTTTGTCGGTCACCTTAACAAGTTCTCACATTGATTCTTCCCTCTCTTGAATCCTTCACACCTTCAAACTAAATTTATTGCATGCCACCACCTTCCATGGCAACAACTGCTGGTTGAGAGAAAATAATTTATTTGTTCATGAGAGAGAGGGGACATCGTGAGAGGTGAGAGATGAGAGAAGAGAAATGAGTTGTAAAAAAAATTTAATAAGAGAGAGAAAATAGTTTTATTTTTTAAATATAAAATTTTAAATTATTATAATATCACTACTAAAATTTCTCTTATTACATGCGATTTTTCCTACGAATTTTTCATAAAAATTCGCAAGAAACGTTGTTCCTGCAAATTTTTCTGCGAAATTTTATCTGTAGGTAATACCTTCGTGGATAATATATTTTTACGAATTTTAAAATTCGCAAGAAATTTTCCTGCGAAATTTCTTGCGAAAAAAATTTGCAAGAAAGTTTCCTGCAAAAAAAAAATTGTAGAAAAGTTTCCTGCGAATTTTTTTTGCAAGAAATTCTGCAATAATATTTTTTACGAAAAAATTAAAGAAATTACTATAAATTCTATCAATAATTCTTCAACTTTCAAATGCTCACAATGAATTCATCCGAAGCATTTGTTTCCATGCCTCCAACATGTGATACATAATCTTTTAAATTCTAAGATTGTAGATTATAAGCCTAACATTCAACCTTATAAATCAACTTGTAAGGTAAGTGTTGCCCCCAACTTATATACTCTTTAATTGTTTTATTTTCAATCGACGTGGGACTTGAAGTGTTTTTAGAATATTAAACTTATAAATTTAAATATTTTTTTGATTTTTCCTGCAGATTAAAATTTGCAGGAAAAGTTACTTGCAAAATTTTTCTATTATTTAGTAAACATTACTTGCGAAATTATTTTTGCAAGAAAATCTGCAAGAAACAAAATAAAATTCTTACAATATTTTCGGTAAATTTTTACCATAAATTTTATTTATGACCATTAAACTTGTAGCAAAATTCGCAAAAATTTCTTGTAAATTATTTTTCGTAAAAAAAATTGTAAGAAATATCTGCAGATTATTTTTCGCTAATAAATTCGTAAAAAAATTTTGCAAAATTATTATTGCAAGAAAATTCGCAAAAAATTTCTGCAAATATTTTTTTGTAAAAAAATTCGCAGGAAAATGAAACTTTTCTTGTAGTGTATTTCTTATACAAATTAACCAAATAAAAAGAAATGAATGATTTTTTTTTTATCTTTAGATTTTGGCGTCACTACAAAAATGTAGAATGATATATGAAAGTGTTACTATAAGTACATAATACGTAAGTATAAATCTATTTGATGTACAGTTGCACACAATTTTATTATTGATTTTAAATGAAGTTTGACAATATATATTCTGTGTTACTATATAACCTATACCTACAATTTTTTTATCAATTACCAACATATATTTATAGTGTAGGTAAAAATGACTTTTTAATATAACAAATATTATATTACTATATATTGTGTATCACTATATAACAATTTTGTTGTAGTGTGTATGTTGTTAATATACTCAAACTAAAAAATAGGTGAGAATATGTTAGTGATCAATCTCTCTCTCTCTCTCTCTCTCTCTCTCTCTATATATATATATATATATACATCGTAAATTGAAAATACAATTTACACTACTAGAATTTCTTTTATTACATGCGTATTTTCCTGCGATTTTTGTATTAAAATTTGTAGCAAACATTATTCCTACAAATTTTTCTGCAAAATTTTATCTGCATATAATATCTTTGTGGATAATATGTTTTTGCGAATTTTAAAATTCGCAAGAAATTTTCTTGCGAAAAAAATTCGCAGGAAAGTTTCCTGCAAAAAAAATTCGCAAGAAATTCTGCAGGAATATCTTTTATGAAAAAATCAAAGAAATTACTACAAATTCTATCAATAATTCTTAAAATTTCAAATGTTCACAATGAATTCATCCGAAGCATTTGTTTTCACGCCTCCAACATGTGATATATAATCTTTTAAACTCTAAAATTGTAGATTATAAGCCTAATACTAAACCATTCAAATCAACTTGTAAGGTAAGTGTTGCCCCAACTTATATACTCTTTAATTATTTTATTTTCAATCGATGTGGGAATTAAAGTTTTTTTAATTTATTAAACTTATAAATTTAAATATTTTTTTTATTTTTCTTGCAGATTAAAATTGGCAGAAAAATCCGTAGGAAAAGTTACTTGCGAAATTTTTCTACCATTTAGTAAATATTACTTGTGAATTTATTTTTGCAAGAAAATCTGCAAGAAACAAAATAAAATTCTTACAATATTTTTTTTGCAAATTTTTACCATGGAAAAAAATTTCTATGATCATTAAAATTGTAGCAAAATTTGCAAAAATTTCTTGAAGATTATTTTTCACAAAAAAATTTGTAAGAAATATCTGTAAATTATTTTTTGCAAATAAATTCGTAAATTTTTTTTGTGAAATTATTATTGCAAGAAAATTCGCAAAAAAATTTTGTGAATATTTTTTGTAGAAAAATTTACAGGAAAATAATATTTTTCTAGTAATGCCATCTGACAATTAATAAAAACTTCAAAATTTACATCATTAATAAAATTTAAAGAGTTTTTTATACTGACAACCAATCATATCTTTTAAAGTTATTTATTTTATTATTATTTCATTAAATAAGTAACTGACATGACACTATTAATAGATATGATTGGTTGCTTGTGTAAAAAAACCTTATACTGTATAGATGATTAACTCAAATTTAAAAAGCAACTTCATTATTGTGGTAAAAAAAAACATTAATGCCAAGTGTGGGCAAAACAAATCTCATCTTAAAAGGAAAATAATTTTTAATTAAATGGAAAAGAATTAAAAAGAATTATTATTTAATTCCAAATGAACTTGGAGAGGAGTATATAAGTATAATTGTGTGATTCTCTTTTTCTTTCTCTGTCTCTCAGTGTTAGCTTCTTGTCTCTTATCATCACATTTTAATACCTTCTAGTTATCATGGTCATAATCTATTTTTCCTGAGAAACACAAAATCAAGAAAATTTTCGGGCCAAAAACACATAATGATAGCATATACTCTAGATATCGATAAACAAACTTTGAGGACTCCTATGGCTTCAAAACTTAAATTTCTGAATTGAAGACCTTTGCTTCATTGGTAATTCACGGCTTTAGCTAGTGGTGTAGAGTGTTACTCTCTTCGATTTGAGTTGCAGTTAGGGTGGCCAGCCTCTCTTCCACAAAATTTGAAGGTTTCATTTTACTTTTTTTTTTTTTCCCTTGAAAAGTCCTAGCTAGGTTAAAGTAGAGTAGGAAATTTTTAATTTGGTGTCAATGCTGAAGAAATTTGGTATTTTAATTGATGTTTACTTTTATTTATGTGTTAGATTGTGGTGGTGAACACAATTTCTTGTAGGTGTTGGGTTATACTAGGGTTGATTTTCCATGTCTCCAAAATCAAAGTTTTGGGGTAAGAAAGGCTTCTTCAAGGGGAAGAAGGGGAAGAAGCGCAAGAGGTATGGATCCCCTTCCAAACAGAAAGACTCACCATTGCACCGTGGTTTTAAGCAGCACGAATCCTCTAATTTTGTGGAATCTGCTGGTGAGTGTTCTTTATCATTTTGGTCTTAGATTCATAGTTTTATAACTTATACTTCGTGATGCATAATAATGACCAAATTCTCAACATCTAATTCATGGATTTTTGATCGTTTTGGTCTTAAATTTGTGATTTATAATTTGTGGCTTCTTGATATATTGTCACTAGATCTAGCTTATGAATGTAAAGAGAGACCGTGAAGAAGATCATTAGCATCATTCTCTTTGAAAGAGGAGCGTTAGAAACTCATTCATTAACCTATTATTTTTAACGCTTTTTTTCTTTTGTTTTGTCAAAATAGATGCCCCACAAAACTTTGTCATTTCCAATGAAATTCAATTTATAATACTGTGTTAGAAAGTTTTTCCTAAATTTTATTTTGGTTGAAATTTATTTAAAATTATAAATTTTGGTAGATATCATTACTATATATAAAAGAAATCCTTTTAATGAGATGTGAAACTCAAAAAGAAATAAAAATAATCAATAATAAAAAAAAGCATAAAAAAGAGTTTTGTTAGCATTCTACAATTGACTTACGCCGAATAAAAGAATATGAGAAAATAATAAAATTTATTGCAAAAAATAAAACATTTAAACTCACGATTTAGATGTGTTATACAATTATTTTATATAACATTTTTTTCATCTTTCTTTTATCACAACAATCATTACATCTCATATTTTTCTTTTTTTTTTCTTTCTATTTTCTCTTACTTTCTATTATTAATTATATTTTTAATTTCCCCCCAATTTATGCATGTCTTGAAATTTTATGAACCTAATCATTTTGAGTAAATAAATTTTTAGTTCAAATTTATTTATTTATTTTATCAATCGAAAAGATTATAAAAATGACAACACAATCCGTCAATCAAATTTTTACCTTTTTTACAGAAAATTTAATTTAAATTATGAAAAAATTAAAATGTTGAACAATTTATAACTTAACTCGCTATACTTATTATTTAATTCATTTATTGGTCAAAGACGTATTAGTTGCAAACATATTAATATTAACTATTTATTTATGATTAATATTAAATTTTATTAACTGTTGGTTACAATAATTAATATATATATATATATTTCAATAATTCATGTTTTACATCAAATTTTAACGATCCAACCGTTGAATTTAAAGTTCTTAATATATAAATTAAATTTACAAATTTTTAGAAAATTTTAAAATTATTTGATACTTCATTTCATCAATTCAAATTAATGGATAATCATAAAATTATTTTATACATTAATTTGAATTAATGAAATGAAATATTAAATAATTTTTAAATTTGTTAAAATTTGCAAATTTAATCTATACATTAAAAACTTTAAATTTAATTATTGAATCATTAAAATTTGTTATAAAATATAAGTTATTAAACCGAATAAGTCTAACTTATTCTTAGAATAAAAAAATATCTCTTTCTCTATATATATATTTCACATATATATAATAATAGTACTGAAGACTGGAGTTACAATTTAAGAGTCATTCAAATTTTTGACCACTACACCGCAACACGTATTCAAACATATTTAAGTTTCCAATCACAAATTTATTTTAAGTTTTTAACAATTTAATTTTCTTGTTGCAACTAATGAGAATGTATACACGTTGCTTGTATAAATATTTTCCCTTTAAAGAATTATTAGCATGAAATTTTTTGTTTTTTCATTCACTTCCATCAATTTTTTCTCACTATCTCACTTTTTTTTTCTTTTTTTTCAGAACAACATATTTTGTTCCTTCTGACTTTGTGACATTATTATAGCGATTCTTAGCATAACGAAAACCGAATAAATCTCTCATTTTGATTATTATTCTCAACTATTATATTATAAAAAAAATATTTTTGTGTCCTTTCTATTAATTTTTAATGGTATATAAATATGTGCCTCTAATTGACACATCATTTAATCTATATCATTAACTTGTTAATATTATAATAAATTTTTTGCAATCTATTAATTACTCTTCTAATTATTATTATTATTATTATTATTATTATTTTTTATAAAAGAAAGGTTAAAGTGCAAACAACCTAAATACGACTCCTATAAGATAAATATAACCCCATTACATCTTGTCTAAGAAAATGAAAAACACCCAGTCGGTGGCCTATCCATCAAATGTAATACAAATTGACTATTATGGGCAGTATTCACTAAATAGTTAACAACCATATTCACCAACATTTGTTAGTCTCGTATGTATATTAACTACTAATAACCAGAAAGGATGGTTAACCTCCACACCATTCTTAATCAAGTTCAGAGCACTCTTAAATTCCCAAGCAACCTCAAGCTCAAATAGAATTCCCCCATAACTTAGTCATCAGGACATTAGAGCTCCCTAAGTTCATTAAGAATCCTAAAATTCATACTCCTTATGCATTTCGTAACACCCCTACATAGCTCCCAGACACACCTCCATGCATAACGTGTCACTTTAGACTTCGAGCTACCTTGGGGAGGAGCCCTTTAAGAAATATCACGATCATAATATCTCGTGGAACCTCTTAAGAATCTCATTTCTTCATCTATTACATGCATATAGTTAAGGGCTCTTGGCCATATATCAGCCTACAAATCTCAGGAGCATCAAGCTGCTCACCAATAAATAAGATTCTATTCCTGGTTTGTCAAATCAAGTGAACCCCAACATCAAATAGATCCTTCCACTTTAAGTCAAGTATCGATAACATGTGTCCTTGGAATTTTTTATACAACCAATCATATGAATATCATGTAAGAAAGTGCTAAGGAAGACTAGATGAAACATTCTTGCACACCACATTAGTAAATTGATAGTCTCTCAACATATGTAGTGCAGTTTCAGGTGTTTGTTGACACAAGGCACAACTATTATCTTCATTTAGCCCCCTAGAAGCTCTAAATGCATTTATCATGATGCCATCATGTGCCATTTTCCAAGGGAAGCAACTCTCCTTAGGGTGAAGATAATTCTTCCAAACTAATTTTCAAAAGGATCTGTTTGACATATTCTCCTCTCCTCTCAATAACCCATAAGTTGTCTTAGTAGAAAAATCACCATCTGGCATTAAGGACCAAATGAATCGGTCTTCACCCAAAGATTCGGTTGGTGGTACTAGGCCCCCTAATGTCATCAAGGAGATGACGTGGATTAATCCACTGTTGCACATCTACCAGGTTCAAGATCCCATCCACAATTACAAAAATAGAAATTGTAATATTAGATTCCTTAGCAGATAAATGTTGAGGGAAGAACTCATTAAGATGAGTGTCCGATGGTAATCATTTGTAAAGATAAAAATTAAAAAAAATATTAATAAATTGTAGAAGCTTAATTGCAATATTAATAAATAAATAATATTCAATGACGTATCAAATTAAGTACACGTGTAACAATAATAGAAAAAGTACCCAAATATGTTAAATAAAACATACCCAAAAAGAAACCATTATTCTTAACTTTATAACTATATAATTCGGTTCTGTAACTTCTTAAAAAAAACTACCCACTCTTACTGACATGCACCTTTACCTGTTCATAAATCTTAATAATTGTTTTTTACGATCATTTTCTTCTGTCAAAATCCTTAAAAAATAAATATACAAAATGCTTCTTCTTCTATTAGTATTTATAATGTCATATATAGATTAATATAATGACACCCAGTGAACTGAGAATCAAAAGTGATATTTTACTCTTTTTAATGCATATCACATCATTTGTAACACTTTTTATTTTCTCCCTTTCTCTATTTTTTTCTTTCTTTCCACCCATGCATAAACACCTTTTTTGAGATGAACGAAAATCACAAGTCTTTTCCTTTTCATGGTTTCTTTCCTGTGTAGGTCAAGGAGATGTAGAAGCTGTTACTCCTGCTACTTGCTCTAGCACAAAGACTGAGTCACGTGACATGAGGCAGAGGGATGACGAGAGTCATCCCTCGGCTTCTCGACCTAGTGGCAGTGGTGCACATCCTAGAGACCCTAGACCCCAGTTCTGGGAAGCTGCTAAGAAGGCCTCTTCTCTTTGTTTGCCCTCTAAGAGGCCCATTCATGTTACGCTGTCTCATCCCGAAAGGGAGAGTTTCGAGGGATGGAGGCCACTAAAAAAGACCCGTCCTGGAAGCTTCTACTCGCAAAGCCACAGAAAGAATGGGAGCCAAGAGACCACGGGTAAGAAGCCCAGGCTGAGTTGGGGTGATGGACTTGCTAAATTTGAGAAAACCCAAACTAATGATGTGAGTGCAAACAAAGATGGTGATTTCTTCAACCCCAACTTGTTGGTGGAGAAAACTACAAGTGCTACAGGTTTTGCAACTCCATCTTTTGGTGCCTTCACAGGTATGTTTTTAGTATCGGTTTTAATCCTCCACCTAAAGTGATCTATGATGCATACATACAATAGATATTACCCTTATTCAATGATAGTCAAGGTTTAAAATTGCGGTGCATAACACATGTTGTGGCTGCGATATTGTTGTTGCGGTGTTCTTTGCAACTGCGATGATCTGCAATTGCAGTGTACTTTTAAATCATAGGAAAATTCACAATGCAACCACAATACAATTCTAATAGATTTGCAATGTTATTATATTTCATTTTTTTTTGGTTAAAAAAGACACATAAATTCAAATTTTAATCTTCTAATTTAATAGACTTTGTTAAAATGTGATACAAATTTCTAGAATAAGCTAGATTATTTAGAAAAATACATTATATGCTAATAACTACTAAATGATATAAATTCTAGAATTATGTAGACAATTACATATAGATAGAAAACTCTAGAATAGATATCTCTAGAATCTTCTACATAAAACATGAATAGTGGTGTTGAGGCATATAAATAGGCCATGTACTCAATATTTGTAACCAAGTAACTAGTAAGTCATTTCTACTACTCAAATCTATTCTAACTATTCCTCTAAGCTAGTTTTCCTTTCAACTAAGCCTATCATTATAAATTTGTCTTCCCATTTTTTCTACCAATCAAATAAGTTTTTACTATTTGATAATTCATAAACTAACAGATTTGGTTACAAGGGATATGTTAAAAGTGAGAGAGACAGCTAATGATGGCTGGTTGGACTGTTATTGAGAGATGCATCATGCACTTTAGGAAAGGAAAAAATGAGTTTGGAGTGAAAAATTAAGAAAAATAAGTTTGATTGATTTTTTTATTATTATATAATTATTTATTTATGTTAAGTGCAAATATATCATAATTTCATGCCACAATGACCGCGATCGCAATGCATGTTGAAGCAGCTGTAATGGTTGCAATTATAGTGAACACAAATGCAACCGCAATTTAAAATCATAAATGATACTATTATTTTAAAATAAATATAGAATATAATATGTATAATATGCTTATTTAGACACGAAAGAAACTTTTTATATATATATATATATATATATATATAAACATGCTTGTCCTTTTAGGTTGGATAATCTATGAATAAAAGTTTGCATTAATTAAAAGATTTTATAGATTATTGAGTTGACCTAAGTTTTCTTTAGAAAGATATGTATGAAAATTTATTAGATATGATAAGTATTTAATTATAATTTTACAAATCTAAATCTAAATTGAGAACATCATTGAGAATGGAATAAAATGTATAAATCACTATCATTGTAAATCATTTTGCATTTTCTACAGATATGAATAATATCAATCTGACCCCTTTCTTGAAATCATTTAGAAAGAGGAAAATTTTAATTTTTTTATTCATCAGAGGATGATGTTTCTATTTTCTATGCTATACATGCATGCTTCTATATCTCGTGCGTAGCTATATTAGTTTTTTTTGTTACTTTTATTATGGTTTCGATATTTTACAGTTAAGTGTGAAGTATACTGAAAGGATTAGCATTGGATATAGATATGTGAAACAAATGAAAGTATCAATACTTTATAAAAAGTGGTGATATAAGTGTTTATTACGTACTACTGATAATATAGTGGCATCTGATTTGTCCAGATGTTTATCTTAAATCACGTATATTTATAATGAATAGGACTTCAATATTTGACAAGTCAGATTTGTTCAGGTGTCTGAATGTATTATGTATGCACATGTACATTTTTTTTATCCTTCAGTAGTGTGTTAGTTGCCATAACCTAGGTTTTGATTTGCGTCAGGTGTGGGTGATATGATGAGTGTAAGAGCTGCAAATGTGGGCAACAGTGATGGAAATTTGGTTGGTTCACCTTGTCTAGGGTCACAAAATCAAGGGCAGGGAATTTTGGAGAGGATAGATGCCAACTCTTTTACCAGTTTGAGTTCTTCACTTGCTGAGTTGCTAGAGTCTGTTGATCCGAGCTCTGAGGATTATAGTCTAGCAAGATCCACTGCAATGAATAAGTTGGTGATCTGGAAAGCTTTCGTGACAAACGTATTGGAGGTGACTGAAACTGAAATTGATTCACTTGAAAATGAACTGAAATCATTACAATCTAAATCCAGGGATAGGTTGCCATGTTCAGTAGCAACTAGCTCCCTATTGGTATGTCACAGTGCAATGTCAAGTAATCAAGATATTGGAAGATCTGATATGGTTACTGGTTCAAAGCCATTGCAAATTGCTCCTTTGGAATCTAACCTAGTCAATGTGCAGAAGCTGCCTCTTTCTACTAACTTGCATGGCATGCATAGCAATAGCAAGGAAGATAATATTAACAATTTGGGAATAGCAACATCAAAAATTTTAGATGCCCCACTCTTGATTAAAGCAGTATCTTCATGTGATACAACAAGTACTTGCTCCAAAGACTTGGGTAGAATTCAGTCTGCAACCAAGAAATGCTTTGTCCCATATACATATGGACAAGTTGCTTGTGTATCTTCTTGTGGTGATGGTAATTCATCTTCATCAATGAATACTGAAGATGTGATGAATGCTAACCCTAGTGCCAGCTTTTATTTTGGTACTGAAAATACTTTATATGATACAATTATTTCTTCCAATAGAGAATCTGCAAAAAGAGCATCTGAAGCATTTGCTATGTTATTGCCTAAAGAATGTGGTAAGATCAGCAATGTTGGTGTTTGCAGCAGCTCACTCTCAAATAATGATGCATTCATTAAGGAAAAGCTTGCAGAGAGAAAAAGGTTTGAAAGATTTAAGGAGATGGTTTTGACAATTAAATATAAAGCCTTCAATCACCTGTGGGAAAAAGATCTATGCTTACGATCTACGAGGAAGTGCCCCTCAACATCTCACAGTAATCTTGAATTGGATCTGCAAACTATCAGTAAGGGTTGTAAGAAGAACCGATCCTCTATGCGTCATCGTTTTCCTTTCCCAGGTATTTTTCTATTGTTTGTTAATTTGGGAATAATATATATATATA